TAAGTGAAAGAAAACTTTTAAAAAACATTTATTATTATACTTAAAATGTTAAACATATACTAAAATATAAAGTGATAAGATAGACAATTTGCATTTTAAAAGAGACTTACATGGATAATATGACATATCCATGATTTTTAATTAATTATTACTTTGAAGCAACACAAACATACAAACATATATACAATATTTAATAAAATATTATCTATATCACATTTCATAACATATGATCGATAACATGAATCTGATCTAATTTACATTAAAATTTCAACCACAACATACAACGATTGTCTTAAAAGAATACTTAAACCAAGAAAAAAAAAGAATTAGTATATAACAAACTTACAAATTAAAAACTTTAACATAATAACATGGCTAAAAAATGGTCAAAATCACTCAAACCAACACAAAAACCTTTAAACTTGTTTTCTTTGTGAATTTTGTATGTGATTGGTATTTGTGTGTCTGCTCAAAGAGATTGGCCTTTTATAGTAAACTATCCATTAATTGCTTATTAAACATATTATATAAGTTATAAAACCTTTGAATGGTTAATCATTATTAAGAGACTTTTGAGTCGTATTCATTCAAATAGGAGGTTTCAAATGAATATGGTTTGAGTAAAAATGTCTCATGGAAGTTTCAAATGAATGTGGTGAAAGGAAAAATGCTTCCGTTATAAGTATAGTAGACGAATTCCCATGCGTTGCGCGACGCAGGTTAAAAATATATTGTTAGAATATTGAAAAATATATGTTTATAAAACCACTGACGAGAAATTTGGTTACATCTACCACGAGAGTCATGAGTCTAAAACCACAATAGAATTGCTTGGTGATGGAAACCCAACTTGGTATTAGTGCTCCTAATTCTCAAGTTTAAAGGGTAACAACGAAGTCACTAACGATAGAAGGTATTATTATTAATGATAAATCCATGTGAGGTAGGATAGTACGTCGTTGCCGAGAATGAGGTTGAGTCATGACTCTTAACAAAGTTTGGAGACATCTAAGCAATGAAGATGTTGTAAAACTATGCCTATATGATCTAGAGGTGGTGCCGCCTCAAGTGGAGATTAGTGGTTTATCTTCTAAAGGGTCATGAAAAGGATTTATAGCGCATGACCATATTAGCGCTTAGGGAGAACGCAAAGACAGCATGTGATGTGTGGGGGTAAACCGGAGAGGTCATACGGTTCGTGGTTTAAACCGATAAGGATACCATTGAATTGGTCTCTTCTTGTTTTTTCTCATTAAACTAGGGTTTAATCTTCGTGACACCCAAGTGACATCATGTGTTAGAGTGAAAGGAAACTTTCCAACTTGGTGGGGGATTGTTGGAAATTATAGCGGTAATCTTGCAAGTTGGAAAGTTTCCCATATTAGTGGGGGAAGATATGACAACAGGATATTCTGCCATTTCGTAGATATGGCAGCAGAATATTCTATCATTTCGTAGATATGGAAACAGAATATTCTGGCACTTCGTAGAGATGGCAACAGAATATTGTACTACCTCGTAGATATGGCAACAAAATATTCTGGAAGGGTTAGAAAACGGCTAGCTTGGAGAGTAAGTCGTTGCCCTAGGGTTTCCAAGGGTCAGCCCATGTGGGCCCCTTTTTTGCCTTCTAGGGTTTCGTTGCCTATAAATACAACTCCCTAGGAGCCGTATTAGTTGCTCATGAAATTTGAAGCTCTCTTCCTCTCTCTGTGATTTTCTTCCAGTTTTTGAGTATTCACTTTGCGTTTATCATTTTCCAGTGCTGTTGGAAAATCGATAGATCTGCATTAAATCCTGGGGTTTTACTCTATTGCTTACATCCAATAGAAGCAAAGTAAAAACCTTTAAGGACAGGAGTCTGATCCATGCAGTTATTATAAATTCAAGATCAACCGTCAATAGGTCGGTTTTACATTATTGTATTGCTTTTAATTTCGTCCAACAACAGGACACTCTCCTTCTACCTTTCTTATAATCAGATCTAATCGAGAAGGATTAATCTGGTTTCTGGAGGAAACTCAGTAATCATATTAATTATAATTGGATATGTTAATCGCAACTATCGACATATAATTCCCAATATTATTTGCCGGTTTCCTTGCGTTTCTATTGGTTTGATTTACAACAATGAACCTAGTTATCTAGGATGTATGTGCCCTTTTGATGATTGAGTATTGTGCCATGAATGTTGAAATACTTTATGTGTAACTATATCTAGGATGTTGCATGCTAGACTCCTCTTTGTTTGATGTGAGATGTGAGCTAAGGTCATGCTGGATTGAGTGTTGTGCATGATTATTATGTGTTGTGAGCATGTCAATACTTTCTTGAAAATATTTGTTTAAAATGTTTTAGGACAAGCATGCTAGTGTTGTAAAATCATTATAGAAGTGTTGTGAATGAAAGTGGTGTGTGATGTAAAATGTAATAACTACATGAAATTACATGTTTGCATGAAATGAACCCTTAAAGAGTAATATGTTAATAAAAGAAAATTCATAATATTTAAATGATTACTTGAGAGGGTAAAAGTGTAACTCCTAAGTTAATTAATTATTATTAAATTAAAAAGAGGAATACACTAGCAGGACGAAGGGTAGCAACCTAGTCATAGGTATATACCCTATCGGGATTATTACGGGGACTCGATAACTTGAACAACACCTATGGGGAAAGAGCTTAAGCCTAAGCGGCATCAGATGATTTTTCTAAGAGATCATTTGAGAGATTGTCCAAACGGTGGGAGGACTGGAGTGATGTTGGTCTAGAGGTGGGACCAACACAAACATCACGTGGGATTGGGAGGTGTAACGCAGTGGAATTGGCACCGTTTGTACCAATCCTTAATGACAACGCATGTATATGAATGTGCAATGTAGGAGTAGTGAACGCAGCACACCGGGGGCAATGATTATGGGTGAGATTCGCGCCTCACCTAGTGTATTGGGTCGTACCGGTCACGTTAATAGCGAACGGGGTACTTGCCTTGGGGGTTTGCTGTGAATAAATAGACCCTAACTAGGAGGTATTACTTTAATAATTACAGTGATGGTGAGTCGTGAGTAATTATTAACATAAAATGGAGAAATAAAATATTATATATTAATATTTAAGCGTCGAATAGATAAAATAAAATTAGTTACAGCAGGGTTGAGGAGAGTAACTAATAAAAGAAGCTCTAAAAGAAGAACTAAAATAAATTGAGCTAAACTTGTGTTTGTTATGCGGTGTGATGTTATTATGTCTTGCTTGTGAGTCTTTGACTATGTGTGGATGTTATGTGTGAATCCATCTACGATATGTGTGTTCTTTTAACACTGTACTGTAATTAACTCACTTAGCTTATGATAACACTTGCTCTTTGTCTGTTGGTTTCTGTGTATTGGAACAGGTAGCTTAACATGATGCTTTGGTAAGGATAGGAACCATTGGGTAGCTTTATTTAGTATCTTTATTTATGATACCATTTGGGCATGTTGGGTTTTCATCATTATGTTTTGTGAACTTTAAATTTTGTATGGGTTGTTTTGACATAAAGTAACATTGGTGATATTTTCTTTTTGAAATATTTATAACAAGTCTTCCGCAAACGTAATCTGTTAAAAGTGTTTAATTTTTTTTGTAAATAATAAATAAGAAAATGTTTTTAAAATTTGCATCTAATAAATAAGAAAAGGTGATTTTATATAAGTTTCTTTTTATTTATTTAGAATGTTAATTAATCTAATAATTAAGATAATAGTGAAAACAAAAAAAATACAAATATTATTAATATATTAGTTTTTAACAAATTAGTGACTTATTAATAATACAAATACAAATATGATTAATCTAATAATTATGTTAATTAATCTATTTTAAATAAATTTTATTAAATTAATTTAATAACTAAAATGAAAATAATAATAAATAATAGTATGGATATTAAGTAATTGAAATTAGAAAAAAAGTTATTTTAAGATTGAATTTGAATATTTCAGAAAACCAAGTAATAAAAACTCATAGGCTAAACGGAGTGGAGCTCGGTACATCTAAGTGGCCTTGGTATAAACCACGCCACCAACTCGGCATGCCGAGTTCGGTGGCCAAACTCGCCAACCAGCTGTCGAGCCCTCTCTTCTTTGCTTTCTTCTTCCTTATTTCTTCTCCCTACCTCGGCAACCTCCTCTCTTCTACTTTCTTCACTCCCTCTATTTGGCATTGCTGAAGTAGAGATGGAGAAAGCTGAGGTGGAACTCGGTTAGTCCGACATCATTTCCCTCAACCTTAAAATGAGTTTTTTTAGTACCACCCTTATTACAAATGATTGGGCATGACCAGTTAAAGGTTGTTATTGATGATTACAATAGGGTAACAGTCAGATCTTTTATGCGTACAAGGATCTTAAAAATGAGAGCGGTGTGAAAAGGGTTGAAGGAGTGTTCATCATATGAATCTTATCAGAAAAGAAGGTGGAGTGAATATCGGAGATAGTTGCAAAAGGTACTCTAATATATTTATTAGCTTTTAAGATTAATTGAATTATGTAAGAAGGCATCATTACCGGTGAAAATGTCTAAAAAAGTTTTAATATCTTTTTTTAACTGATCATTTTAATGTTAAGGGACTTAAAGCACCCCTGAAAAAAAAATTAGTAACCAAATATGATCAAAACGTAAAAATCATAGAGTTACTTATAGTAAAATTAGCGCTTGTAGTTTTAGACAATTATAACCAAAATAAATTATTAGTTATTTATGTTAGATTGGATCAAGTTTGCACCAAATTTGATGCAAAACTATGATTGTTATAATTAATTGATAAGGTTTGGAGACAACATTCACATCTTCACATCTTTTACAGACACGGAATCTTGAAGATGAACCAAACCACTGTCCGATATCATTTTTTGTGGGATAAAAAATGTACAATTTTGATCGCATTGACATCAACACGTGTCTAATTCAATTCAGTGAATACCAAACACAATAAACATTGTTTGTCATGTATAACAAACGGTAGCTTCCCATATTCATCAATCAAATGAACCCATATATATGATATACCTATACATAAATAACTATCTTTAAAAACATTAAAAATAACTACTACTTGCACTAATCACACATGATTTTTCACAAACATTCATGATTTCAAAAACAATTTACTCGCGATCACCACCAAACACGCTACACAAATAAACCGAATTCATAACATAACATAACATAACATAACACCATTATTTAGCCTCCAAATTTGAATCCAAAAGACCTCCACTATACGAAAAAAGGCTTTCATTCAAATAAGGATGCCCACTCCCCTTACTTTTCCCTTCATAACTTTCGGAAGCCGATGCTGACTCAGCATTCGGATTAAAACCCGCGAGTTCCATAATACTCTCAATCTCTTTCACAACCTCACTCATTCTTGGCCTTTGATTTCCAGTGTCTTCAACACACCTCAATGCGATATCCACAAATCTTTCCAACCCTTGTAGCTCATGGGTCAAACCGATGATCGGGTCAAGTACCTCACGGAGGTTATAAAGGTCTTTTTCCCTGTCCATGGCTTCTTTTACTTCTCTCACAATATACTTACCTTTTTCGATTGGATTTCTTGCAGTTATTAGCTCTAACATCACGATTCCGAAGCTGTAAACGTCGCTTTTTTCGGTTAATTGCTGTGTCATGTAGTATTCGGGATCCATGTAGCCCTTCAATGATATGAAAATCATCAAAAACTATTGAATTCATGAATTTAGGGTGAAAGAAAAGAAAGTTGACTAACCATTGTTCCTTTGACTTGAGTGGTGACATGTGTACGATCAGCATCACCTAATGGTTTTGAAAGACCAAAATCAGCAACTTTGGCATTGAGGCGTTCATCAAGTAAGATATTTGTTGTCTTGACATCTCTATGAATGATTGGAGGATCAGCAAGATCATGAAGATACTGCAAACCTCTTGCAGCTCCAAGGATTATTTTCAGTCTTCTCATCCAATCCAATCTTATCCCAGATCTCCCTGTTTTCAGAATTTAACCTTTCATTTTTTTTTTCTACCACAAAGTTGTACTTACAATTTCTACTATGAAAGATACATGTATTTATACCATTGTATGTTTATGTGTGAAATATATAAAAGAAAAAGGAGTACCTGAAAGGCTATCTTTGAGTGTACCATTGACAATAAACTCATATACAAGCATCTGTTCACCTTCATCAAAACAGAAACCAACAAGCCCAACAACATTCTTGTGATGAACTCTTGAAAGAAGCTCAATCTCAGTTTTGAACTCAAGTCCACCTTGTGTTGACCTTAGTTGAGCTCTTTTAACAGCAACCAATTGCCCATTTTGGAAGTGTCCCTCTGTACACCTACACATATATACCCCAAAACTTATGAAATAGCAACCTACTTTCATTTATTTCTTTATTATTATATCATACTACTTTCATTTCTTCTCATTACTTGTAGCATTCTACTTTCAAGAATCTATCTACAAAGCATTTTTCACTGCTATAATTCAGAAGCCATTTCAAAGTATAATGCTATAACTGGGTGGATTTTACATTTTTCAACGCCTCAATAAGAAAAATATTCAAAACTAGGGTGATATTACCTTACCCCCTCCCCCCCAGGCTTTGCAAGGGCATAATCTGTAAAGTTTTTATTAGGCAGGGAGTAAAACTAACATTTTACAAAGTACATGGGTGGAAAATTGTATTCAACAAAGTAACAGGGTGGGAAGTACGAATATACAAAAATATAGGGATCAAATATGGCAACATAATAAAGTGTTGTGGCCACAATCTAAAATAACAAACTTTTGTGGCCAAAAATGTAAAAACCTTAAAACTATACTTTATGGCCAAAGTCTAAAATAAAAAACTTTTATGGTCAAAATATAAAGAGTTAATCTCAAAAAAAGACCTTATATTTTGTGTTTTCTACGGATTAAACCTCAAATTTATTTTTTTTTCCAGAAAAAGACCTTGTATTTTTTCATTTTTTGCGATCTGGCCCTTTTAGTCATTTTTTGCCTTTTTTTTTTAAAATGTGAGGGTTTTTTTTTCGGAAAAAAATATGAAGTTGAGGGCTTTTTCGGAAAAAATGAAACCCTCAACTTCATATTTTTTTCCGAAAAAAAACCCTCAACATTCTAAATGCTTCCAAATAAACCCTCAACCTTTTTAGTTTTTCTCGAAAAAACCCTAACATTTTTTAAAAAATGACTAAAAGGGCCAAACCAGAAAAAATGAAAAAATACAAGGTCTTTTTCAGGCAAAAAATAATTTTGAGGTTTAATCCAGAAAAAACACAAAATATAAGGTCTTTTTTTGAGATTAACCCTCTATAAAACCATAAAACTATACTATTTATAAACACTTTTGTTTTAATATATATAATAATTAATGTTATGAATAAAAAAAATGTTTGCATTAATATATTAAAATTTTAAAACTAACCATCCCATAGCCACCAGAGCCTATGTTGGCAGTGATTGCAAAATTATTTGTGCAAGTTTTAAGCTCTTCATATGTGAAAGATCTTGCCCCTTTTAATTGAGGACAATCACCTCCACCTTTATCTGGGTCCCACGAAGCTGCAAGTAAGTTATAATAAGTACACACAATATTATCATTATTATTATTATGTTGCCATTTATTTTTTATTAAAGGGCATTCATGTCATTTTACCAAAAGGAGAGTTCTTCTTTGTAGCTCTTTCGGCTCTTCCTTTCTCACGAAAAGCATAAATTCCAGCAATTATAAGTAATATCACTAGCACACAACCTCCCACTACTACTCCAATAGTAACTCCAATTCCAATTGATTTTCCCTTTCTTTTTGGTGCATCTGTAAATTAATTTTGTTTAAACATATTAAAAACATAACGTCAGATGTAAATCAAATCCATAAAATATGAAAGATTTATTTACCTGAAAAGAAGTCATAATTATGGCCTAGAAAAAAGTAGGGCCCAAAAGAGTGGGGAGGTTTATAAGTTTGGTTGCTAAGTATAAATCCTATTTGAGAAATCCCTGACCTATTAAATCGTTCACCACCAGATGGGAAAATGGCTAGGTTTATTTCGAGGTAATCGTCTGAGTTCTTGGTGGGTTGACTCAGTGAAAGTGAGTCAACCGGGAGGTGGTTGGATTCAAAAGAAACCATGATGGAACTCCGAAGGGATGTATAGATGGTTGAGTTTCCAAGGTTAGAGAAAGAAGGAGCCCTAAAAGTCAAAGTTCCTGTGTATGGATATGAACATTTACAATTTGGACTTGAAACTTGATCTGAAGTGCAAGTAGTTTCAGGAATACAATTGTTTTGTGGTGTTGAATATGAGGAGTTGGAATCTATCAGAGGATCACAATATGATGCTGTTGTGTCTGATTCCCTACAAATTGGATTGCTGATGAGTCTGCAAAAGAACAAAAGACGTTAATACCCTCCTCCTTTTCTCATGGTTGAAGAATGAAGAGAACATACATGAGATCAGCAGAGTATCGGCTTCTTTCTGTGTATCCAGAAATTAAGTTGTTTGTCATATCAATGAAATGTAAATGGTTGCTATAAGAAGCTCCAAAATCAAGGGTTCCATTAAGCTCGTTGTTTCTTAGTACCCTGTGCAAAAACCATTTTCAGTATTTTAACAAGAAAATAAAATAGGTAAAATTACGAAAATGTCCTCACAAAGTCTCGATTTGTGGAATGCTAAATAAGTCAACAGGTACTTCTCCTATAAGCCCTGTATCTTGCATCATCCTGACATTGCAAATTTAACAAACAATCAGTAAAGTCAAAACAAGAATCTACTCAGAAAATTTTACAATGTTATGTGTGTGTGTGTGTGTGTGAGAGAGAGAGATGTACAATGTTGTTAAAGATTGCAATGATGAAAGCCATGGAGGAATCTCTGATGGTTGAAAAGAATTATTGCTCATATCCCTGAAATGATGTTTTGCAAAACAATTACATTTTTTTGATATACTTATAAAATTAATGATATATTTATAAGATTAATGATATTATGTAGAAGCTTACAAATAGTTAAGGATTTTCATTCCAGTGAGATTGGGCAATGGGCCCTCAAAGTTGTTGTTGGAAAGATACCTAAAACATAACAAGTCAAAATGCAATCTTTCGGAACTTATACTTTTGAAAATTTACCAAATTTAGCAATGAAAATTGATTTATATCTAAATGACATTGCTATAATTTAATAGAATGTAGAAAGTACAATGATGTAAGAAACAAATGAATGAAAGTAAGTTTTCATTTTTTGGATTTAAAGAATATATTTTCAAACTTACAACTGGTTGAGTGATGTAAGATTGTTGATGTTTGATGGGACTTCACCACTTAACAAATTCCTGTCTAATCGTCTGTTTCATAAATCATAATTCATACACAACCAAATTATTAGATGAAAATAAATATGAAATATTTCATCTGACTTTATAAAAAAAAATCATAATAACTAATGATACTCACAAGACCTCAAGATTCTGAACAAGCCCTAGTGTCAATGGAACTGTTCCTGTTAACTGATTTTCTTCAAATAACCTGTGCTCAGTTACCATATATCAAAAAAACAATAACAAATTTATGTAATCATATATATAAAACTTGTGAAAAATTGTTATTCTTTTCTTACACGTGTTTAAGAGACATTTTTGAGCTGAAGAGGCGAGGTGGTATTTCACCTGAGAGCTTGTTCTTTCCAAAGTGACTGTAATTAAATGGAAAGGGAAACTGTAATTTTAGAATTTTTTTTTAATGTTATAGAGATGAAAAAATGAAGATGAGATTTTGTAGTTTTGGACATACAAGTGTTTTATATTGACCAATTGGTCAAGGCCAGGGGTGGGTCCTTTAGACACTGGTATGGGCCCACTAAGCTTGTTATCAGCTAAATCCAACCAATAAAGTTTAGAAAGATTCCCTATTGATGGTGGAATTGATCCAGTGAATCCATTTGAATTCAAAGCCCTGTAAAATAGTTATAAATGATAATGCAAGAAATAGCAATGTACTTTGAAAAATCTACCCTTTTATAGCATTGTAGTTTCAATTTTTTTTTATTTTCTTATTAGGATATTATATTTTGAAAAATAAAAAAAGAACACCAAGTTTGCACTAAAGTATAATGTAGTAAATTGTAATAGAAAAGAATGAAATTAGGATGCTATAATAAACAAATCAGTAAAAGTACATTGTTGTTTCTTTTCTTGTATTTATAAATATAGAAATATGTAAATAAGAGATTGTTGTCCTAGCCTTTTTTAATTTCATCATAATCTAAATGGGAATTCTCATTTTCAAATATGTGTAAATGTGAAAAATGTATATAATAAAAATACTTACAAGTAGCCTAGTTGAGTTAAAGATCCAAGTGTTTCAGGAAGTGGACCATTGAAACCGCAACCAACCAGGATTCTGAAAAATAATAAAAAAAAAATAAAAAATAAAAAAAAACAATTTTAAAGAAACATAGTTATGAGCATGTAAAGTAAGTAACAAAAATATCCATACAAATTTGATAACTTTTTTAAATTCCCGATATCTGGAGTAAGAGATCCTGTGAGATCCTTATTGTAAGACAGATCCCTACATGCAATAAATAACATTTCATAAAAATAAAATAAAACAAATAAATAGTTTAGGATACATTATATTATAATATTATATACATACAGTGTTTGCAATTCGGATAATTGTCCAATGTCTCCAGATAACTCACCACTTAATCCAATGCTTGATAGGGTTCTGAAATGAAAAAAAAAGTGTATATAAATTATAAAAACAAGGTTGAATAGTTTTGGTATTGATTAAAATATAGTTAGTGTGAAGGCTCACATTGATGTCACACGTGACTCGATGCAGGAGATCCCATCCCATTTTTCCACACATGGGTCAGATCCGACCCAATTTGGTGGAGTGTTATGCAAGTTATCCATGAGAGCTTGTAGATATACAACTGCAACAAAAAGTATTGTTTAGTTTTTAACCAGAAGTAGATTGCGATTTTCCATTAAAAGTGAGAAGTGAACCAAATTAGGTTGCTATTTTATTATCTTTGTGAAATACAATAAATATGAGATGTGGATAGATTTGTCTACAAAACATTCAACTTTTATGATGAAATTTGATGTTTTAAAGTACAGTTCTTGAAGGGCACTTAAAAAATTGTAATTTGAATAAGTGGTAGAACTACAGATATAGAATTAAATATTCCTCTAAAGAAAAGCTCAGTTAACTCATGACAAAACTAAAATCTAAAATTTCCATCAAGAAATTAAGAATATGATAAAGATCCATGAGCAGATGTGAAGCAACTCAAGATAAAGAACACTTACTATCTTGATTCTGGGCTGATGTAAGCAATACATGTATGAATATGAATAGTAGCACAAACAATACCCCAATTCTTACACTCATTTCTCAATCGTTGTACTTGAACCTCAATATTCATAAATCATTATATGGAAACGTACAAAGAGTAGAAAATAGAATGTAGAAAATTGTATACAGAAGAAGATATAGCTCTTGTTAAAGTATAATTGGTCCATCAGTTTATTACTATACTACCCCCACTGCATTAAAGTCTATATGTTCTACCACTTGCATCCTTCAAAGTCTATTTATGATATAGACAACCCCTGCAGACTTAAATGTTAAATCCAAGTCAAAACGAAACAACTCATATGGTGGAATTCGTGCATTTTGGTCTTTGTAATTTGGAAAGAATGAATGGCTATAAATAAGCACATACACACATGGTTCCATATACACACACATAGATACATACTTTAAGTTGTATGTATTATAATTGAGGTATTGTATCACAAAAAGTCTAAAATTTTATCTATTCATGATGATTTCAGTATTATAATTGATGTATTGTGTCACAAAAAGTCTAAATTGGATGAAAATTTTAACAAGTACATTGCTATGTCTAAATTTAACCCTGCTTATACGTCATGTAACTTTGAAATTTAAAACATCATTATTTACCAAAAAAGTCAAAAAAGGCATAACGGAATTCCAGGGGGACCATGTAAAACCTATGATGATATTACACCATTAACAAATGGGCTTATTCAACTTGCTTATCAGAATCCTTTTTTGTGGAAATTAGCTTAGTGGGGGCTCAATTGTGGAAAAGGGTAATCAATACATGAGACTGAAATTAATTGAACAAGATATTATTTTGCTAGTTGATCATGACATAAATAACCAATCAATTAGCTTCACAATCTCTGGAAAACCACGTGTCATGGTAGAGTACAAGGGTTGCACCAAGCAGTACAACAGCTCCAAGCATGATATTCGTCATTTTCTTCACATTGAATGAATTTAGGTATTTGATGATCGAGTAAATGGAGTAGGTTGATACGGATGAGATGTCTCTATTCGTATTAAATGCGAGATAAGAAGTTGCAGAATATCATATAGTAAGAGGAAGAACGATTGATTTCGATGAATTTACCTGAAAAGGTTTCTTCAGCCTTCCCTGTCCGACCTCCATTGTTGCTACCAGATGCCCTCTAACGAAAATTTATTTATGCAATTTCCACTTCCAATATGCTGGTAGTTTGTGTTTTGTAAAACCTTATCATAGTTCACAAAAAATAGCGTAACCATAGTTAAAAAAGGGAAATCAATTAAACTAACCACTTTTTAATATTATTTTAATAATAATAACTTTTTTTTTCCAAAATGACCGTCCGGTCCGAAATGGACAATTTTGGAGTTGTTCAGGCTTTGGTTCAAGATATAGGTTCCTTGGACGGGTTGACCAATGATGTGTCGTAGGGCATTGGTGATCATTCTAGGGTCGCGATCGCACGTGCACAACTTAGTAACTACCAGCTAATGTTGTTTTGTTCATGGTGTTCTTCTTTTGGTTTTAGTTTAAGCAGTAAGGTGGTTGTATGGTTTTGATGATAATGGATTGGGGTTTTTGGTTTCTTTTGTAAGCATCTAACTAGTGAAGGGGATTTTGATGGTAATGGAATTGAGTTTTTGGTTTCATTTTGTTGTATGTAGGTTTATGTAACACATCAAGTTAATGGAATTGTAATGGAAGTTTACTTTGTAACAAATCAATATTTTGGAATGTAATAGAATGTACTTTGTTATAAATCAATGGTTTGGATATGCAATTCGTATGTATATTGTTATAAATGCATTTTTTGGATGGTTTGGATGTACAATTCAAATGTCATTGTTATTTGTTTGTATCATTTTTTATCATCCTTATTTTGCCATTTTTTGCTAAGTATAGGGACCTCCTTGTTTGTACATCATGTGAATTCAAATGTACATTGTTATATGGACCTCCTTGTTTGTATCAATTTTTATCATCCTTATTTTTCCATTTTTTGCTAAGTATAAGGACCTCCTTGTTTGTACATCATGTGAATTCATGAATTTTTAACTTCCACCTTTGTTTTGAAGGTCTGTCCCACCCAAAATGGTTTTACATGAACCTCCCCATGTGAGTATGTAGTTGACCTACTCAACTCCTTAAGCATTTTCTTCCTATCATCTTCATGAAATCTTGCAAACTGATAATCATCACTAGCAATAACTTCCAACTATTCATCAACTATGTCATTCCCTGTAGTTGTGGTATGAGTGTTTATAATTCCATGTTCATCTACATCCACGACACTATGGAATTCACTCATGTCTACATCCACATCAGATTGTATGTTACACTCCTCTACATTGTAGTCACTATCATCATAATCATTGTCACTCTCACTATAAAAAGCATCTCCACAATCATCATTCACCATTCCCTCTAGAATATCCACTCCCACTTGAGTTTCACAACCATTTTAGATAGTGTACTCAGCAAAAACTGAATAATCCTCTAAAAATGGTTCAAATTCATCAACTCTCATACTATGGACTCCACCATCAGCTTGAAAACTTGGTTCCTCTACATCTTGGAAGTTGTAATCAACATGGTAACTTTCCACTAGTTCTTGAGTTTCAACTTCATGATTAACTAAATTACCCTTGCACACTTCTTCTTGAGTTTCAATTTCATCTTCAATCACCAATCCCTTATTTTTTTTTCTATGTTACCCATGGTCACTCCTTCATTTACATTAATGATATTACTTTGTTGGTTAACCTATGACATTACATATGGGACAATAGTCTTGGAATGATCATGACCTTCATCCATATCTATTACATGTGACTGCTGAACAACATAGTTGACATGTTGGTTTAAATCAAGCTTTCTACCACATGATCCTACTTCTCTTGTACAAGGTTTCTTTCTATTCATTTCTGGTGACACACTCTTAGGTTCCGACTCCTCAATAACTACTTTAGAAGGAGATCTCAAAGCTTAAAAAGAAGATATCTAATTTCCAACAATAGGCGGGAGAGTCATTGTATGAAGCTTGGGAGAGATACAAGTGCTTGATAAGAAGTTGCCCTCAACATGATTTGAATGTTCAACAAGAAGTTTCCATCTTCCATGATGGAGTGAATGTAACTACTAGACAACTTCTTGACTCACAAGGTCCTATGACAAATAAGGAGTTGGTAATTATTAAAGAATTGATTGAAGAGTTTGCAAAGCACTCACGAGAGTACCACAATCCACGAGATGATGTTACAAGAGGAAAAAGAGATGGAGGGAACGAGAATATGGCTGCAATCATAGCTAATCTCGACTCTATGGATAGGCGAATGACAAAGTTGGATCAATCAATACATGCCATTAGAGTTGGATGTGACAATTGTAGTAGTCCACACTTGACCAAGGATTGTGATTTAGATGAAAATGGGAATAAAAATGTGCAAGTGTTCTACTCAAGTGGTGACAAGTTTGATGAAGATTGGAGAAAGCCTAAGAAGGATTGGTTACCTTATGAAGAGTACAACTAACAGAAAGATGAGAAGTGTAGATAAACCGGAAGAGGTTTCTATCAAAAAGAGCAACCACCAACCGAAAAGAAGATAGATTTCGAGTCGGTCCTCCATAACTTTATGGAAGCATCTGAAAAGAGGCATGATACTACTGATGCCAATGTTAGAAATCATCAAGCTTCCATAAACAATATAGAGACTCAACTTGGGAAATTGACCACACTTCTCAATGAAAGGTTACCGCCTAAAAACCAAGATAAAAAATCACAATGTCATGTCATGTCATAACGATCTACACTGAAGAAAAGGTTCATTTTGAGCCAATAATGACCCATGAAGGAACTACAAGTCATCCCAAGTCGTGTGTGGAACAAGAACAACCCGAAGTCAAAAGATCAAAAAGTGAAGTATTCTCTCGAGCTTCACCACATCATGGTCTCATCGAGTCTAATCCTGTTAAAAATATAGCTTTAAAAATAAAGTCAAAATTAGTCGACGGAGTCTAAACGAAAGTTGTAGATCTCATCTAGAGCTTTCCGGGGATATAAAGAACGTCGAAAATAGAGTTTTTATGAAGAAGATATGATTTTCTAATGTTTTCCGAGAAGTGTCACGTGCAGGTGGGTTATACGGCGTGCACCTTCTAGTAGGTGGGACGTGGACCACCATATTTGCGACACATGGCAGAAAACGGGAGGAGCAACGTCTCAGGTGTGTGAGGCGTGCACACCAGGCGCGACGAACAGTTGTGCTATAAATAGGCTTCGACTGATCATTAGTTTCCTCATTCCCCATCTTCCTCTCTCTTGAAATTCTCACGATTTTATCCCATTTCTCTTAGTTTTAGCCTTCGGCAAAGCCCTACGATCCCTAAAGAAGTAGTAACTAGTGAGTAGAAGCTCTTCCAGTTCAATTTCTAACTTATGTCAGGAAGAACCTATGTAAGTTAAGCTACACTCTAGTCTTTTTTGTGTAACTTATATTTATAGTCATAAGTCGTCATTATGAACCTATAAATAAGATTTATCAGTAATTCCATGTCGTTATACTGATTGATCTACTTACGGGAGAGGTGTCTAGAATGATCATGTCGGCTTGGTTGTTGGATTTTAGAAAAGCTATTATGTTGAAATGATCCTGCCTCCCAACTGTCATGCATGGATGATCCTTACTTGATAGATCTTGATGTAGACATTGAGATTAGTGAGGATCTAGACTATTCTTAGTCTCCCACATCATTATACTAAAACTCTGTAGTAATTATACTTAGGTCATGTCCAGGAATATTTAAGGTGTTAGACGAAGCTTTGCCCAGATCACTAGTCACCCATTTTATCAAATGAGTGTATAGTTACTTTCATCTTACACATAGATATAAAGTATTTAAGATAATTACATGCTATATGTGCTTATTATCTGTGTTCCTGATATCTAAGCTAGATGAACAATTTATACATGTTTTACTCGATTTTAAATTGTATATGTATTTTATTACCTATAAATATGTTGGGTAAAAGATGGGTAGATATAAGATGACATAGATCATGAGTGATGACAGGTGATATAGATGATGAGAGATGAAAGGTGATATAGATGATATAGATGATTAGAGGCCTTGACTTTAAAG